ATGCCTCGAAATCCCAGCTTCGCTGCACAAATCTCTGACTGTTGTTGGTAGAATGACCTGCCGGCGGGCCCGCGGTGCAGCGCGGGAGCTCGGGGGTGAGATGGCCCGCGGGGCCCTCGCGTTGCCGAGCCGGGTCCTGCGTGGGCTCTCTCCTGCGAAGCTGCGCCGCCCTTGGGCAGCCGAAGTCCTCCTCCTCCTCCTTTTCCTCCTCCTCCTCCTCCTCCTCCTCCTCCTCCTCCTCCCTCCTCCTCCTCCTCCTCCTCCTCCTCCTCCTCCTCCTCCTCCTCCTCCTCCTCCTCCTCCTCCTCCTCCTCCGCCTCGGGTCGAACGGAAGCGCGGGGCCCACGTACGGCAGGCTCGTCTCCTGACGAACCAGGCAATAGGTTTCTGGCATCGCGTGGATCGTTCAATCTTGCACGAGCGGCGGCTTTTTGGTCGCCAGATCATTCCGTGTTGGCCGATTCTGGGCCACTGGCGGCGTTCAACCTTGTACGCCCGCGGCGGGGAACCTGCCATATGAGCCACACGAGTCAGAAGTCGAGGCGCTCTTCTCTGCGGACCCGCACTCGGGGAAAGCGATGGAGTTACGTTGTGCTTGAGTCGTGCATGGGCGCCGCGCTTGTGAGGCTGTGGGCGCGGAGCTGCGACCTTGGTGAGGGCTGTTCAAAGACATCATTCTGCATTGGCCTGACCGGTCGGACGGGCCCTGTGGGCGTGCTGCCTGGGTGCCTCAGGCATGCGGCGCTGGTGCCACAACGTGCCGTGCAGGTACGCCATCCACAGAATGACACGAGCACGCGCTGCCCGAGCCAGCCCCCTGGGCCGGAGGCGTGCGAAAACCTCCAGTAGCAGGTGAATTGCATCGGGAATGGACAGACCCCCCTTTAGGAGAACGTGGTTTAGTGAAAGCGACCTCGGGCCCAAACCTGGCGGGCGCAGGCCTGGGAGATGACGGCCGCGGCGCCCTCTCGAGAACCGAAGGCTGACAATTCACGAATCGACGTGTCAGGGTAGGAGGTCTGTCCGCCCCCCATTGTGCCCTGTCTCCCCCATCAGAGCTGTGCGCAGCCCGCCTGGCTTTACCGGAAGAGGTTCGCTCTCGCCCCGCAGACCAAAAAGGTAGGAGGTCTGTCCACCCCCGATTGTATATACCTAGGGGAACAAAAAGCGACATAAACATAAAAACTCGGAGGTCCGCGCGGATTTCTCGGATCGGCGCTGGACCCCCCTCCCTGGCGCGCGGCGCCGGAGGCGCCGGAGGGGGGCCCCAGCGCCGATGCGAGAAAGCCGCGCGGACCTCCGAGTTTTATGTTCATGCCACTTTTTGTTCCCCTCATTGAAGGGGCCACTTTTTGTTCCCCTTTTTGTTCCCCTCATTCTAGGGAATCGACGATTAATTGTGTCTGTGTGTTCTTTCCCCTCCTGACTCATACCCTGGTCGCACCCCGTCCAGCTCCCCCGGCAACTCCCCGGGCGGTCGCTGGCACGGGTACCAGAGCGCCCGGGGGGGCAGTCCTCGGGGCCCTCTGGCG